TAAGTATTCTAATATTGTATTATATCAAACATTTTGTTTATGATTTTACGAATTTGTTAGGATAAAAACTTCCGACATTTTTATTGTGATTTCATAACAGAAATGTTTAAAAGTGTACACCTTTTCTTCTTCGGTTTTTAATTTTAAAATGCTGTGAACTTATTTTATGTATTATGTTTGATTGTTATGTAATTGAGATGTTTGTCTATTGGAAAAAAATAATTTTGGTTCATATTTTTACAAAAATAATTATTTGTAAACAGGAATTAAAAGTTCATAATAGTCGAAGTTGGATCTTTGATGCTTCAATAATTTAATGTGAATTATATATATATATACACACTATATCTATATAATTGTGTGTGTGTGTGTGAGTGTGTGTGTACATACACTATATTTTTAGTCATTTTGAACTGCGCGCCGAAAATTTTATCGGACTAGAAGATAAAATGCAATATTGTGATAAAAATACGTGAAAATATCAAATGCATGTTCTTATTTTCTTTGCATTCAGGATTAGGACCGGTTGTTCCAGCTTCAGATAAATTATGTAATAATTTATCTATTAGATAAACAAAGGAGTAAAAAGAGTAAGAGAATAAGACAATGAGCTGAAGTTTACCGAAAGTTAGAACAACTTAGCCTTAATTGTGTATTTATTTTCTTAATGATAAAATATAATCGATAAGAAACAATTATCGATAGAAAATCTAAGATTTGTTACGAAACCTCTAGGCTTGTATGTTAAATAAATATTACGCTCTTTATTGATTTTCCGTGTCGGCATTTGGGAGAAAAGGTCATTGCTGATATATATGACTGGGAATGAACTGGGAGGTTGCAATTCAAGTTCAAGGTCGGTTGAAGCAGGAAGCGAAAAATAAATGTCGAATGAAGAAATGAGAAGATGCTGATAATCAATGATAAAAACGCTTGTTCTCATTTGTCTCTAATATCTTTCAGCCGGAAAATATGGATGGTGGTAATACTGATACTCTGATGAAATATTGAATGAAATATTGATTCCGCAAAAGTCATTTCAATGATCAGTGGTTATTAGTCATCAATATTGATAATTGATTTTCTTTTTTCTTTTAAAATCTATCTGATAGGAAAATTTTTATCACCTATTATTCAACTGCGTTTTCCTACATGCAGAAATCCGTTTTCTCAACCCGAATTTTTTTTCTTTTTTTTGCTTTGATCTACTCAAGCCCTTGTGTGTTCTACATTTCACGACTGATTGACACTTGTTGCGCCTGCTAACCTTTGTCAATCATCTGCGTGGTCTTTTTGTAGCACATTTAATTCAAGATGCACTGAGAGATGGATAGGTATAATGACTTTCTTCTTTAAGGAAGATCAAATGAAAAATAGAGAGCTTTTTGATGTACCATTGCAGAACGTGTCAGACGGGGTATTAACTTGTTAGCTGCAATTCTCTAGTCAATTCTTCTACTATCAATTAAATTATGAACTGTAGAAATTAATATCGTTATTACAAAGTATTGGGGAAGTTGTAAAATCGATGGTAATTTTTTTATACATCCAAGATTTAATTTAAAAAATCATCATAAACGGTATGCTTAAGTATACGACCGTTAATTAGATTACGCGAAGGGAAATGGAAAATATATCTTGAATTAAAAATTCTGATAAATCGAATAAATGGAGAAGGAATAGAGGAGAGAGGGAGAAAAAAGAAGAACGGAGGAATTACTCCTCGATTGAGCATATGGGGATGATATTGATCCATCCCTTCCATGAACTGTCGTACATTCCCCACCAGCTTTCTCCTCTTTCTCTCTTCACGGTCCTGCAGAGACCACCCTCCATTCTCAGTTCGGATTCCTCCAGCTCTCAACGCCGATCGGCCGGGTTGTCACTCGGCCCGAGATGCCATGCCCGAGGCCACCGCCGGTTCCTCCGGGAAGTCGTTCCTGCAGCGAGCGCGAGTCAAAGTTCTTCGCTGGTTACGACGCTCTCTGCGAACGACGCACCAGGTGAACGCACTATTTCATCCCTCGAAAGGCTGGTCACCTCAATTTTCTTTGCTCTCACGATTTGTACAACTAAATCAACTTTTCCAAGAAGACGAAATCTCCGTATTCTTCTTGCTGTTCTTCTCCAGCTGTTCTCGAAATATCCCTTTGCGCTTTTTGTAAACGTTGTGTCAGTAGTAGTATAATGTAAAAAAGTTTGAAATTTCTGCGATGCTATTTGTGTAGGCTCCGAAAGGTTAACGAAGGCAGCAATCCATAGATTTCGTAGTTTTATAAATTTATGAGATTCAAATTTTCCTTGTTGAAAACTGAAAGCTTTAAAACTCACAATTGATGAATTTTAAATAAATTTAATGGAGTTCGCTAAAATCGGAGATTCCAAGATGCTTTTCAAATATTTTTTGAAAGAAAAAGAAATATTAAAATTTCTCTCAATATAAAATATTTTTGTAGCGTTTTGTGTATGTGTTATGAACAAAATACAAAAAACTATATATCTTTATTTAAAATATATATCTTTATTTAGTATCTTATTTAAATGTTATTTATTTATTTAAAAAAGATGAAATATCCATAATTCACAAAAACTATAAGTCTCTAACATTATTTTATTTTTTCATTTTTACTTGCACTAATTATTATTATCAAAATTGCAAGTCATGAATTAAGCAGCTTAACTAGCAACATAATTCTACTTAACTAGCAAGATATTAAGTACTTAATATGAAACTCAATGGAAATGAGTTTCAAGGCGAATTTCCAGTTTTATATAAAATTGACAATTTATAATAAAATTATGCTGATATATAGTAATTAATTAAATACGATGTAATCTTTTTCTTAAAAGTAGAAAAAATATTGTAATACACGACTTTTGCAAAAAAAAAAGATAGACACATTCAAAAATTATTATAATCTTTTTTTCTTTCTCTTAATTAGTCATAAATTTTGATAGTTACAGCATTACTATTGTTCAATTTTATCCATTACAAAGTGAAATTGACTCCGAAAATCAATTGTCAGTTTCGAAAATATCAATTATCAGCTTCGAAAATATAATTTTTCTCATTATAGATATTAATATTGCTTTAACTTTATATCATAATATATAATTACTTCCAAATATTTTCAATATGCTACCATAACGTATCATAAAAATGTATAAAATCTATTATGCTGTTGAACAATGTGGGCAAGTTATGTGAACAAGTCAATAGGTTTTTTGCTCGCTATTGTATGCACAAAAGCATAAAGGGTGAATCAGTATATACTGCATAATAATTTAAACGTTATTCTGTCAGCAGTTGTAAATAGCATAATCTTAGTCTTCTAAAACAGCTCGATAATATATATTTCCTTCTCAGAATAACTCTAATAAAGTAGTTAGCTTATGAAGGTGGGCTGCTTTCTGTGAAAAATCAATGTCTGTATCGATTCTTCCTGAATTGCATGGATAGAGTAGCCTAGAGTGATTAATGTACTTATCTAGCTTTTGCGTATCTAGAATGTCCTAAAAAGAATCTTTTACAATTCTCTCGGAGACTTTATAACGGAAATCTCACGAAGAAAATTGAAGCGATTTCCATAAATATAAATTTCTTCTTGTCAATATTCTATTAGTTATTTTTGTAATATAATTGAATTGATTTATAGCGATTAAGAGACTACAAGAGATTTATTTGATTAAATTGAAGTCAGTAAAGGATATTACACGAAGTCTGGAATACTCTGTATATCTGTAAAATCTATCTGTGCTGCTTTTTATTTTACTTTTACTATTTACTTTTTTGTATTGTCAAGGAATAGTAAATAGAAAATAGAAAATGGAAGTATTTTGTTCAACCACACATGAAGTATCGAAATGTCAAATAAGTAGAATCTTATTTCAAATAAATGTTAATGTAAATAGTAAATACTATTTGCCTTTTTTTAATATTTACTACACAAATACTTAAATAAAAAGTTCAAATGGACGATTAGGAATCGGCGCGTGTTGCACTTAAATAATTAACAGACCTTACATGTCTAACAATTACATTTTAAATGTCACGATCCATATATTAGTATACTTTTCTAATTTTTTAATGTTTAGCCATCTTTAGCGTGGAATACACATAAATTATATTTTATCGCATATTACGCTACGTAGATTTCAGTGGTGAATCTCCAACAATTCCATAACTGGTTGATACGTTGGATGATCTCATGGAATTAAGATCTTAAATATAATCAAATTAATTACAAAGAATTTTTTTAAACTTACAGGAAAATTAATATAGTAAATATTCAAATGGTGAGAGCTAGCGCCGATGACCTTAATCTTATCAAGATTATGACTCTAAGTAATCTCCAACAGGCTTTAGCTGTCGCTCATTGTTGGTTAAAAAGTTATTAATAAAAAAATTTAAGAAATATTGTCTTATTTCTAGTATTAAATACAGTATTAAATATTATCTTACACCCTTTAATTGTGACCCATAATAACTTTCTAGACAAAGCAAATTCCACCTCCCTCCTGCCGAGAGATGCGCGACTTTCCACGCGAAACCAAGTTCACCTTATCTCGTCCCTGCCCAGAAGGCAGGGCCCTAAAGCAATGCATTTTATTATTGCTATTGTGTTAAAAAGCTTATAATTTAGTAGGAAAATGTTATAACATTACAGACAACATAATACATAATATTACAGATAACATGTAACACAAAGGTGTCAAAAACCATCGTGTTTTTTAAGGGCTAGTATGTTGTTCTAGGATTAAAATTTTTTAATAATTCGCAAAATATTTCCGCAATACAAATGAGAATTAGTTGAAAATAAAGAAAAGTATAAAAATTTTTTAGTTTAGTTACAAAAAATGTAACTAAACATACGATGGACGATTTGTAATCTTAATAATCTTTAATGGAAAACTACGTTTACATATTTATCTTTTCCCTAAAACAAATTTGCAAATTTCTTCCTTGACAAATTAATTTACAACTTTATTTGCCACATTAGATTGACGGGCATGCTGCGGAAACAGGACCGGAACTCGACGAGGAGATGGAGAAGGTCTTTGCGATGGACGCCGGGGAAAAGTTCGACGTAGCCCGTCTTGGATCACCTTCGGAATCGACTGGATCTGATCGAGATCGCGATCGTGGACCATCTCTACGATATGGTGGCGATCGCGATTTCAATCGTAAGTCGCTCGTACTATCGCTCTTCAATATTTTTTAATTTAGTTTTTGACATCGTTTTTTGATAAATTAGAAATATATAAAAATGACATTTTTTAGAATATCGTAAAAAAAGCTATCCGCATCCGCATACGCCCTTGAAGAGTCTGCATTCCAGATCTATGCGACGACACCTTTCTTCGTAAGTTCTCGAAAAGTAGACATTTGGCAAAATCTGTCTTCAACAAAAGCTTTTTTTGTCTTGTCGATTTGAAATGTTATAAGAATAATATCAATCAAACTAGGGTAAAAATAGGGAATGTGGAATAGCGTTTTTTAAATTAACATTGCTTCAATATAATAAGAAGACTTTAAATTTACACAGAACTCTTGAAGAACATGTTAGTTACAACATCGAATAAATGAAAGTCGCCAAAATTTAAGTCCAACGTCACTATTAATAAAAAAGTAAAAAATGTGAAAATAGGAGATGTAAAAAACGGGATGCAATATGAAATAGCGATGAAATTTAGGTAACAGTAATAAATAATACAATAAATGAAATCCAAATTTGTTTATTTATGTAAACCGATCAAGAAAAATTAACTTAATCAACTTAAAAATAGTTCACATTTTTATTGTACAATAACATAAAATAGCATCATTGGACATAAACTGGCAAATAAGTTGGTAATATGATAATAACCTATAATCACAAATAAACTGGTAATGTGTGGAATACATTCTATAACGTAATTATCTAATCACGAATAAGTTGCTGATATGGAATCTATTTCACATTCTCAACCCTTTATGTATTCCATATTACCTGCATATTATCATATGACAAATTACTTTCCGTAGCAATAAACAAGTTAGAAATTGCAATTTATCTGCATAACATTGTTCGTACAATATTATTAAAGGTATATACGTAATGTAAGCATTAACAAACTTACCTTCAGTTTGTGAGAACACTTTTTAGAAAAGCCGAATCTCCTGACGTAACAAAAATAAATAAAATAAATAACAATAAATGAAGGGCGAAGTAAGAGTTCAGCGCATTTCTTAAAAAAAAAACATATAATTAAAGGCATAAATTAAAAATACAGAAAAGATAAAAAAAGGAAGAAAAGATGTATACTAAAAATAATAATGGTGAAAAATAAACATATAACATTACAAGTTTCGGCTACTGGATTGAGCCCTCTTCAGATGTTAAAACATAATGGAAACAGGATTAAAAAATAATTATCGCAAAAGTTCACAGATTAAGAATACACGCAGTTCGGTTGAGTCTCGATGTAGAACTCGACATTATTCGTACGAACAGTCAAAAATGTGTCATATCTCATAGCAAAGTTCAACAAACATATGTAAAAGATCAAAACTAATGTATCCATATAAGTATAACAAATAGCAATAAAAAAACATAAAGAAGAGTGGAATGCAGGTGTGAAAAAACGGACATTGTGTATCGACTAATGTGAACGCTCGCTGAAACGAATCACCACGCACTGGAAAAATAAATAAATGTTTATCGTGATGAAACATTTTGTCAGATTGAGCCCATGCTTGTTATACTATGTTTGATAGCAATTGCAACAACTTTTAGCGATTACAACGCTGGATTGCAACGCTTTGTTCAGAAAATAAGCCACTATTCCATATTAGCAGTCTATTCCACATTCTCTGCTTTTACTTCTATATAATCAAATACAAACAAACGATTTCATATACATCAATAAGAAGCATAATTAAGTTAATATTGACAAATTCTTTGAAACTAATAAAAATTTAGCTTCTTATAACTCTATAACTTTCAAACGAATGAAATTTAATTCTATGCACGTAAGAACGTTTTTACTGAAAAAATAGACTTTGCGTTTCTTCGATTATTCTTAGTGAAGGGTCAACAGCGGAAATGTCTATCGAAGAGGACCATGGCAATATCCAAGCGGAGAACGAGAAAGTCGACGAGATGAATCGTGAATTTCGATCGATCATCACAGCAGAAACCGAAACCGAAGTTGATGAAGAAACAGCCAAAAATGTAAGCAATAACGAAAACGAGGCGCCGATTTCAGAGAGGGCGGCTTCCAGTTTCAGTCCAATCATCGGCAGTCCGCCGAGAGTACAATTTGAAAAGATTAAGGAAGAAGATGCATCGAATACGCAAACACTGGAAGTGCCAACAGATACCATTCTGAGTGGCCACGAGGAAGACCGGAATCGCCGACGGCATCAGAAGCACGAACATAAGTAAGTTGATTTTTGACATGATGGCTTGTAAAGAGTTCAGGAAATGAAGGTAAGAGAAGAAAAAAAATCACATAATTTAATTAACACATTTAGTGTTAAACAAGAATGTACCTTTTTCTGATTAGTAAAACAATATTTTGATGAGAATACAGATCAAAATAACTGTAATTTAAATATCGTGTCTGCATATTATATCGTGTCTGTATATTATGTGCACAGATCTGAATCATCCTCAATATATTTTAAGGGGAAAGTTTAAATCTGGTGGTCGCATTTCGTGTTACAATTTCTGTGGACTCATATTTACGCTATGAACCGCGCAATTATGAGCACGAAACGATCGACCTTTATTTCGTACCATCCTAAGCGATGAGCTAGATTTGCAGCGTGACAATTCCAGTACAGAGCGGTACCAAGTCAGATAGTTAATTCAAGATTTATGGGGCGGGTATGAAAAATATATATATGTATATTATAGCGATTTAATTAAGTTTTGGATTAAACTTTATTTAGATTAGATTTCTTCATTGTTCTTACATTTCCCAAATAAAAATCTTAATATATCTTTAAGTATAACACAAGATTGAAATAGTTATTATTGTACAATAATAAAATTAAGGTCAATCAGAGTCTGAAGTAAATGTGTACGTTTAATGTTAACACAATAATAGATACGTTTAATGATTGTCTCTACAAGATGGACAAATTTCGACTTACATTTACGTTCGTTAGCATCTCTAATAAGCCAGCGGCACCAAATGAGTAGAATAAAACTTATTTAATTTTTTACTCATTTTGTACTCATTTTGAAAAAAAAAACGTAGCGCTGATAATTTGATATTAAGCTAGCAGAACTACAAAAAAAAATAAAATAAAGATACAGATAAATAGAATTTAATCTAATTAAATGAGAGAAATCCTATATTCAGTCTTAAGCGGATCTTAAATAATACTTGAATACATATTGTGTGAATTTATACACAGGGTGAGGCATATAATTTGTTGCACATCTCGAAAAACTTGGTAAATTCTAAGTTGATAAACTCTAAATAAAAAACTGTTATATACAAAAGCATGATTTTAAGGGAGCCATTATATAGCATAAATTTTTGTTATAAGTGTTGGCGGCAAAAAAATTTCAAGATTAGTTTTTTAAATGGAATTATATGATTTTTTTACATAATATGATTCCTCTAACTATTCTGTATATAAAAGTATTAATAATAATGATATCGAAAAATCAATAGTTTACGAGATATATTTTATATTATACTTTATTTCGGCACATACATTGACATAAAATATTAAATATCTCGTAAAGTATTTTTTGATAATCGTACCTTAATACTTTTATGAATAGAATAATAAGATAAATCAATTAATGTAAAGAAAACATATAATTGCTTATTTAAAAAATTATCCACTTTACTCACATATTTTATTTTAGAGAAATAATTTACACGCTATCACTTGGTGTTGGAGCGTATTTGCATTTTTCCTCCATTTTTATTGCGTTAGATTTATTCATCAGAGCCTATAATGTTACTTACTTATTATTCTGATTCTCTTCTTATGAATGAAATCTTATAAAAGACTTAACTAATCACTCTATTATTGACTACTCTTCCAGACGTCACCATCACAAATCTCGCAAATACTCTCTACAGGAAGATCCGCAATGGCGAAAACGATCGGGAGCCGGTCTTCCAGATAGTTCGAACTTGCTGGCTCGACGTGTCAGCGTCCAGCCAGAAGAAGCAAGCACTTTGCAAGAACTCGACATCGATGATTTGGAATCGCATCGTAGTGATGATCCACGTGGCATGCGTCGGCACAAAGCCGCTTACTCGACTGTGCAGATCGGCCGACGAAAGGAGGGCGGCATTTTCCATGACACCTTCAAGAAAATGTATGATCATTCGCCGCACGAAGTATTTGTCCAACTGGACGAGCTACATGGTTTGGGCGAAGAGCGTGAATGGCGAGAGACCGCCAGATGGATTAAATATGAGGAAGACGTTGAGGAGGGTGCTGACAGATGGGGCAGACCTCACGTGGCTTCTCTTAGTTTTCATTCACTACTGAATCTTCGCCGATGTCTAGAAACTGGTGTGATTCTTCTTGATCTGGAGGAAAAGGATCTGCCTGGGGTGGCTTATAGAATAGTCGAGCAAATGGTCATCGAAGAGCTTATCCTAGCCCAAGATAGACCGGTCGTGATGAGAGCACTCCTTCTCAGACACAGGCATGTGCACGAACATGAACGTGGTTTCCGTTTCGGTGGCAAGAGGAGCTATTCTAGTTACACCAGCCTTCAGGTAATTCATCCATAACAATGATATTTTTTACGTAACATGCATCATGCACACAAAAACGGCCGACTTTTGATTAAAATTCGCGAAATTCGCTTCGAGTCCGAAAATTGTGTTGAAAAGTAAATAAACACTGATGAAAGGTAAAGAATCATGATAATCAATTGCTCAACAGGTAACAACCGTATTTATAGGTTTCAAGATTTTGCTATATAAATTAGATTTGACAAATTCCATCTCACTTTTAGTTCCACAAACTGATGCAATCCTGGGTTTGCAACGCAGCTTGCACGTTTGGAATCATGTGACCGAAACGGAAAGTAATCGTGACGACTGTAATGAATGCTGATATATTTTACCGTGTTCGCGCATTGAGACTTAAAAATAAATCAATTTTATATGAATGCTGCAGTTTATGGAAATGTCGAAGATTACCTGCAAGGGCAGATGTATCGAACGCGATCAGTAGTGAGTAGTCGTAACGAGTATGGTAGCAGGGAATAGATTTAACAGTACTAATATTATTTCCACAGTCCATCTGGCTGGAGGAAGAAGATGCTGCGCGGGAACCTGCTGAGAACCATGTAACACAACATGTAAATCTCTCGTTTCCCGAATCAAACGCAGTTTTTTTTATTTCTGTTACTCTAGTCCTTCATTCTATTCGCTCGCACTTCTTATTTGAATTGTTATGTATTTTTTAAAGTCCGAATTTACAGCACAATGGGTATATTTGGCGATTTTGCAAAATTCCTCTCTTAAGGGTTAATTGTATGTATGTCGGTTTTAAAACGTAAACAATTTATATTAACACTAAGAATATTTTTCTGATATTGTGTTTTATATGCCTAATATCGACAACAAAGTTAACATTTATTATTATGTTATCGTTAGTTCCAATAGACGCGCGCGCGGATAAATATATAATAGTACACAGAACATTGATTAGACCCGGTAAAAAAATTTATATATACAGGATGTTCCGAATTTAAATAGACAAACTTCGAGAGTGTGTAAGAGATCGATAAATTAAGAAAAAAGTCCTTTAGAGGTATACTCATTTTTGCTTCATTTTGGAGAAAATCACAAAAAAAGACAAAACGTAGTTTTTATTTTTGTACTTATTTATTACTTATTCATTCACGTTTATTTATTCACATTGTCACTTGCTTAATACAGATTATTGTTTAAAATATTGGCCTCTTACAGCATTGCATCTTGTACAATCAGCTCGTTGCAACCAAACACTGATCTGGTACACGTAATGACTCGCCGATCTGGCTGGCACCCTTCTGCTTGAAAATCTCGCACTGTCTCTGAAGCATAATCGCTAAAGTTTTAAGGGCTGCGCATAATCAAGGAATAAGAACAAGAATAGAGAATAAAAATTTCAACCTTTTAGAAACTGTATTCCACAGTGCATAATTTCTAATTGGTTGAAATTTTTGTTCTCTGTTCCCTGTTCCTTTAAGTACGGAACTCTTTACACGAAAACAAAAATTACACAAAAATAATATTTCATTTTAAAGATAATAATATTCCGAAAATTACATTTTGTTTTTTTTTACTATTTTCTTTAAAACGAAGTAAAAATGAGCATATCTCTAAAAAACTTTTTTTCTTAGTTTATCGATTGCCTACATGCTCCCGAAGTTTGGCCATTATTTGGAATTACATACATATATACATATATACAGAAGAGTATTCTATATTATTATTGTGTATATATACACAAGAGGTTTTAGCCGTCAATCGGACACTGCGTAATACCAGCGGGGTTAACCTTCAAGCCTTATAACTCGAAAAGTATTTAACGAAAAATAACTTTATTATAGTATTTTGAAAAGTTCTTAACACCAGTTATTAGATTCTGGCAAAAAATAGGGAGTCCTATTTAAAAAAAATCGATTTGATCTTGATCTGGCGACGCCATCCAAGGTCGAACTGATAAGACCTGTAAATAGATTTTTTGATACTTTACAACTTTTGTCTGAACATTTCTTTCAAAAATATCATCTTCCCGACTGATCTTCATCTGATTTCCATCTGACTTCCATCTGATCTCCTTTTATTAACCCTCAATTATATGAGTGAGTCATTTGGACCCGGGTGAAAATTTTAGTCTGCCACTATTTTTGTACAATTAATATTGCAAAGTTGGAGTGAGGAAATAAAAAAATTTGGAATCTTTCTCTGTCGATCGCCGTGATACAATTGTTTCGTCATTGTCTTGATGCTAATTGTGATGCAATAAAAGTTTGGCTTGGGTGACTTAAATCCGTCAAATATAAATTCGAGATTTTTGCTGAAAGTGAAAATTTGTTTTTAATAAGTGCCTCTTTATTAGTGCTGCATTCAAGTATATATTATGTTATCTTCTTATAATTAAAATATATATTTATTATCGAGAAAAGCATTTTAGCGAGAGAGGCGTCTTGATGAAACGATGCTCTATTTTCTTAGAGTTATAAAATAAATAATGTTAATATGTCGAAATCATTATATATTTAATATAAAATATGTTTATTACATTTAAAAAAAAAAAATATTCGACATATCTCCGATATCATTTTTCCGAGCATGTATAAAATTGCCCCCACTTCAGTTATGCAAATAATTATACTTTTTGGAATGAATCAATGACTATGTTTATACTGTGCATTTAGGCTGCGGCCTATACAACAGGTGTCCTTGTTTATCTTGTAAGTTAAATAACAACACCTATCGTATAGATCGCGGAAGTGTATAGTGTAAACATAGCCAATATAACGTTTTTTTTTCTTAAAGTTTACGTTTTTTTCTTTTCAAATAAAAAATAAAAATACTACTTATTTTTATCTGTATCTTAAAAAAAATTTTGTTTTCATTGAAGTTTGTGATAATTACAGAGCCAGTCATAAACGCCGTGGATGACTTGGACCTAGACGTGTAAATTAAGACTAAACGAGACATGTAGTTGAGGGTTAAATATTAAGTTATAAACAAATAAAGATCGAGATCGAATAAATCGCTTTGTCATTATCATATTCTGCTATAGTTAACAAATATAGTGTATAATTTCGTTTTCGATCTCTTTTTTTTACGTATTAATTTATAAACAAATAGAGATCGATGACGAATAAATCACTTTTCATTATCATTTCCTAACTTCGTTAACAGACACCAGCATGTAATTTCCATCCAATCTCCTTTTATTAAATATTAAATTATATAAACAAATGAAGATCGATCACGAATACATCGCTTTTCATTATCATTTCCTAACTGCGTTATTAACAAATACCGGCGTATAATTTCATTTATCATGTACCGCTGGCGCTTCTTGCATCAATACGTAAATGCCAAAAAATGTCCAACAGTACATCTGGCTGATCAAGAAACATAATGAACATAATCATAATAACGACAACGTATTTAAAAAATTTTATATTGGGACTTTGCGTCGCAATATCTCCGCTCCGTAGGGCATGTAGAAAAAAATTAAAGCACTTTTATTATACAATTCGAGTGGAAGCTATCAATTGAGCATATGTAGAACTTGATCGATTCAGTCGTTATTAAGATCCGATAATCTCGATTCTTCGCAACTTGTTATCTCGCGTAAAGAAACACGATAGTGCGCTTGTCTAAAGCCTATTCTACAATGTGCTTTTTGTTTCCTATTTCTTGCTTTTTACTGTTTTTTACATCTTATCTTTTTGCTTTTTATTCGGTTTTTTGTTTTATGTCGCTCGAGAGAAAAGTTCATGAATTTCAGAAGAAACAAGAAACACGTAGCAAGAAATACAATTGTCGATAAAACGATTGCAAAGGGGAAAAAAGCAAGAGGTAAAAAACAAGAAACAGGAAACAAAGAACACATTATAGAATAGGCTTTAGCGCCGCCGAAACATCATCGTGATTTTCTTGATTTTAGACAAAACTTTTATGATTTTTTAATATACTTTATAACTGTGTATTTAGATTCTTCAAAAATCTAATATTTTGAATCCCTCCCATTAATTTTGGGAGGTTGTTTCACACCTTAAATTTGAGATTGAGTTGATATGAAAAGATAATATCTTTTAGATTTTTGTATTTAACACAACATATTTCAAAAAGAATCGAATCGGTTCTGGATAGTTGTGGTAGACACCTTGTGAATGGAAAAAAAAGATAATTCCAACACATACACGCATGGATGCACAACAAAACAAACAAACAACAACCTTGCGCATTTCCCAAATCGCCCAACGTGCATAAACTATTTCATATACTGGGTGTTCTTCAAGTACAAGCCATACTCAAAGAAGTAATTCTTCAATTTATTTTAAGTAAAAAAGTTTATATAAACATGTGTTCCTAAATGATTTAGTTTGCGAAATGCAGGGTGTTTGAAAAAAAATTTTTTTAACGTTTAGCTTCTAATTCTGATGTTCTAACTGTCACAGGTCTTTCAAGAGCAACAGTATCCTTTACGAAAGAATATCCTTTACGACTTTTCTCGAAGATAGCGGTAAATGTTCACAAATGTTTAACGACATGGTAAATTGCGTTGAAAATATCTATCTGCATAAATATGCCTTGCTTCACGTAAGTTACTATTTGCACAACCATAAAGCACATACCTACTACTTCCAAACTTGTAAATTTAGGCATGATGAAATCGAGTTTAATGGATTGAAACAATTCGGCCCGAAAACGTATATAAGCTAACTAATCCGCAGCATCAGAACTGAAGTCTTTTTGTTCTTGTGACATTGTCACTTTGTCTACGGTCGTGCGAATGGTAATTCACATGAAGCAATTAGGCAAAATATATTTATGCAAAAAGAAATCTTTAACAATTTATCATGTCGTCAAACATTTGCGAACATTCACTTGTATTTTGAAAACTAGGCCGAATAGGACACATTTATATGAACTTTTTTACATGAAATAAAGCAAAGAATTGCGCCCTTGAATATGGAAATGTACTTAAGGCAGGTCCTCTGTATAAACCACAATAGATCATAAACATATATAAAAATGTATATGATTATATGTATTTATACTATAAATACATTTAAAAATATATAATTATATATGAGATAGATTTATATATAATTATGTATAATTTTTTTATGTATAATTACATAAAAAATTATACATAATTATATATATTTTTATACAATTTTATATAGTTGTATAATATATGTATATGAAAAATTTTTTACCGGGGAATAGTGTGAGTTAACAATGCTCAGCTTAAGATACATATTAATTATTTAATTTTAATTGTAAACTTTAGCCTTTATATATTTTTTTAGTCTTAACATTAAACCTAGTAAAAGGCTTATTTAAGTGGAATAAATTTTTGCTTCGTGTTCTTCAGTTACTTCCATAATAAATAAATTTTTACTTCGTAATATAAATAGAACAATCGCAGCGCATTCCCATAGCTTGCAGTTTTTTCATTGCGTTGTGTCTTCATGGTACTTTCTTAGCACGACTAGTCTCACCTGGGTTAAATTGGATCTAGAAATATTCGTGTAGTACCATTTTTGTCGGTGGTTGTGATTATAAAATGCTTGTGATCGTATATCGTATTTATCCATTAGATTTTATTCTCTATAGTTTTATATTCTTTTTCGCTTAATTTTCTTTTATTATTATAGAACAAATCAGAAAATATGATGTGTCTTTCGCATTAATGTACGGATGAACTATTTCAATCTCATAAATATCAATCAGGGTTGTCACAGAAAAATCGGGAAACTCGAGAAAAGCTAGAAAAATTGACAACATTTATAAAATCATGTAAAAATCCCTTCTCACAAGACGCAAAAAATAATATAATATATAAAATTACATGCAATAATTGTGAGGCGACATATGTCAGCAAAACTGAAAGACAACTTAAAACCAGAATCTCAGAACACCGAAAGCATATAAACATACGGAACATGTCTACTCGGTCAGTCATACCCGATCATAGAATGCAGGAGCACCACAAATTCGAATGGAAAATATTATTTTAGATGAATCTTATTATACGAAAAGATTGATTTCTGAAATGTTATTTATCAAAAAGTTTAAATTTACATACAGATACTGAAAGTCTCCACTTATTTCTCTATTATCGACAAATTGTAACTATAATATAATATAGTCTCGACTCGTCAGTCAGTAATGGTCAACTGTAGAATGAAGTGTCGTAAACTATACATCTTTATTTTAATTTTTTTGACTAAGACTTTTGAACAGTGAATCTATACATCTTTACTTTAAACATTTGAATAAGATCTATCATTAATTTATTACATTTTATCTTTAGAACACATGTATTACTGGAAGCGGAATTGAGCGTAAAGTCAACATCTGTGCAAGAGAGAAAGCTATAGAATCGCAGTTGAGACTGTAAATGTGCATGTGCCACTCAATCCGTTTGCCCACGTTCCACTTCGTATGTTTGTAGCCATATATTTGTAGCCATGTATTTGAAATTTTTTATTGCGCACTATTTACTGCGCTCGATTCCTATGCCCCATTTGTAATTTAGAGAAATTAAAATTGGCCATTGAAAACCAGGAAAAGTCAGGGAAAAATATAAAAGAATAGAATTTTTTTGAACTTTGCTCACAATTTTCTTAACTGCTCTTTTATTCCAAATAACTTAATAATTTTTTAAATATACAGGATGTCCCAGACACCCGTACACCTCTTTTATTTCCATAGGATAATTAAATATATGTTCAGTAATAGTTTTAGTATTTAAAAAGATCTTTTTACTAGTCTTATCAGTTTGACTTTGGGTAACTAAACTCTTTTTTTTTCATTTTTAATAAAAATGAAAATAAAAGGCACAATCTCCACAGGCCTTGATCTTAATATATGATGTCAAGATCATGTCCCTGAACAACATTTAAAAAGTTTTAATCATCAATTGAACATCTTAAATAATAGTAATTCCAGCGATACTATAACTTTCAAGCCTCATGACTAAAAAAATATTTAATGAAAAAATATTTTATCACAGTGTTTTGAAAAACTCTCGAGCTACAAGAACGTGCAATAAAAAGTGGGGATTTCCGTTTGAAAAAAATCGATGTGACCTTGACCTGATCTTGGCAATGCCACTCGAAATCAAACTGATAAGACCAGTAAATAGAGCTCTTTAAATTTTAAAATTATTGTCTAAACATATTTTATATGCGGGCGCGCGCGTGCGCGTGTGTGTGTGTATGTTAAACCTTACATATTTATGTTAATTACGGGAAACTCTATTTTCATTTGAAAAACCTGAAATAGTCAAGACATTTTAAAATTCATTTTCTGTGACAGCCCTGATCAATCTTCATTTATAGCGTATTTTTTAATACAATCTTGCAAATGTGCATCCATGAGTATTTTTTCTTACTTCTTAATTATAATTATTTCTATCACAAGCATACTTTCTTATCATGAGATGTTCACTTCAATTAATATCTTTCATAAACGTGTAGTACTTGAGCTAAAAATAATTGTTGAGAGTGCAATTACACTCCTCTCTAGTATTATACAATATATTATCATTCTCTGATTAATTATAAATAAACTTAAAAAAATCAATCATTGCTTTTTTTTATAAGAGAAATTCACATTATTATTAAACATTTTTCTTCATTAAATTAAACAATATCATGAAATTAGATAGACAAATAGATTAGTTCCAATTATTCAATGATATAAGTTGTTCTGATTTCAAGATATTGAGAAATAACTCATTGAATTTTCTTTTTGAAGACTTATGTAATCCTTCTTTGGCGGAAATAAAAAGTTCTTAGATTGTTCTATAAAAATTTCGAAACATCCAACAGAATCTACACGATGCGAAGCCGAAGATCGTATCATCGAACTTGGCGCTCGACAGCAATCATACAATGGTCGATATCAGAGAGAAAGAAGAGTTAACGTACATGAGCAGTAACGAAGACTTAAAGAAAGGTCACAATGATTACATCCTCAAAAGAATCCCAGCCGGTGCTGAGGCAACAGTCGTACTTGTCGGTGCTGTCGACTTTTTGGATCAGCCAACGATAGCCTTTGTACGATTAGCCGAAGGTGTACTTATGCCGTCCATTACGGAGATCACGATACCGGTCAGATTTATGTTTACCTTATTAGGACCGAGAAATGCAGATCTGGATTATCACGAAATTGGCCGGTCCATCTCCACTCTGATGGCAAACACGACATTTCACAAAGTCGCTTATAAAGCCAACGAGAGACGAGAGTTGCTTTCAGCTATTAACGAGTTTCTAGATGATTCGATTGTATTGCCACCTGGCAATTGGGAAAGACAAGCTTTGCTACCGTTCGGTGAGCTTAAAGCGAAGAGTGAGGCTATCAGGAATCGGAAGGCGAAAGCGCTCGAAGAGAAAAGCAAACCGGAACAAGATGAGGCAGCCGCAAAAAAAGGTAATTTCTCCAAGTAATTCGATAAACAAGAATTTAAAATTCTATAAGAAAATATCTTGATAATTGAATATTTGTTTTTCAATTCTTACTTATCGATCTCGTTCTTTTATTTTTAGTTAATTATTATCCCCTATAATGTAATGTATGTGTAACAGCTCTTCTCGCCGGCGAAGAGGAAAAGAAATCATCAGAAGACGATGATGATCCATTGCGACGTACGAAACGACCATTCGGTGGCCTCATCAACGACATTAAGCGTCGTTACCCTTTCTATTTATCCGATTTTAAGGATGGTTTGAGCTCATCTTGTCTCGCGGCAGCTATCTTCATGTATTTCGCCGCGTTATGCGGCGCCATCACATTCGGTGGCTTGATAAGTGATAAGACACAAAATGTAATAGGCATTTCCGAGACTCTTATTTCCGGTTCTTGGACGGGCGTGATAATGGCATTGCTCGGCACTCAACCGCTTTTGATTATCGGCACGACTGGTCCGCTGTTGCTCTTTGACGAGAGCTTATACAATTTCTGCTTGGCGAACGAACTTGAGTTTCTCACCGTACGGGTATATGTTGGCGCCTGGATGGGTATCATCGCCCTGGCAATCGCCTGCATCGAAGGTTCCGTTCTCTTGCGACTCTTCACGCGCTTCACCGAGGAGATCTTCACTGGATTGATTTCTATCATTTATATCGTTGAAACGTTTATGAAGCTTTACAACTACTTCGTGCGCAATCCTCTTCTTCACGAATACAGCTTTGGGCCGGACACCAACAATATAACTTATCCGCTCTACGTTGCTGAAATGAAGGTTACTCAATCGCCATGGAATGGAACTGAAGAAACCCTACGCTTGGAAAACGTTCGCGAACTTCTACCGAGTCATGATAGAATTAGGCTGCCAATTAATCAACCCAATACAGCTTTAATGTGTACTATCCTTTGTCTAGGCACTTTCCTGGGTGCCTACTACTTGAGAATCTTTCGCAACAGCCATTACTTAGGCCGTAATGCTCGAAGAGCCTTCGGAGATTTCGGCGTGCCTATTAGCATTGTCGTTTTTGTTTTGATCGACTATCTACTTATGGTAAAGACGGAAAAGTTGCTGGTACCCGAAGGACTTTCCCCAACTATGCCCGATAGAAATTGGTTCGTATCTCCTATCGGATATGAAAAACCTATACCGCTTTGGATGGCTCTAGCTTGCGTGGTGCCAGCTTTCCTGGTTTACATCTTGGTTTTTATGGAGACTCAAATATCGGAGTAAGTTTAAATTTAATTACATTTAATAAAATCACTTGCTTAATTGTCAAATATGTTTGCGTTTCTGATTAATCGTTCGTTTTGCAGATTGATTATCGATAAAAAGGAGCGAAAACTGCGAAAGGGCGCTGGCTATCATATGGACATCGTAGTAGTGTGCTTGATGAATATAGGATGTGGACTGATGGGTGCACCTTGGTGCTCCGCTGCGTCGGTACGCTCCCTCACCCACGTATCCGCCCTAACCGTAATGTCACGCACTCACGCGCCTGGTGACAAGCCGCATATCGTTGAAGTGAAGGAACAAAGGGTGAGCGCCCTCCTGGTCGCGATACTTATAGGCGTGAGTGTGCTGATGGCACCATTGTTACGGCGGGTACCGATGTCCGTCCTTCTTGGTGTGTTTCTCTATATGGGGATCTCATCAATGAATGGCGTACAGCTATTTGACCGCGTCAAACTGTTTTTCATGCCAGTCAAGCACCATGGCACGGCAAATTACGTACGCCGTGTGCAAACCTATAAAATGCACATTTTCACCCTCATACAAATCTTGTGCTTAACTGTATTGTGGATTGTCAAAAGTACCAGAGCCGCCCTGGCCTTACCTTTCTTCCTTATTCTGATGATACCGTTGCGCGCTCAGATGAGCTATTTCTTCACTACTGCAGAGCTACGTGCTCTCGATAGTAAAGGATCCGAACACGATGTCGAGGATGAGCTGGATTTTTACGAAGAAGCTCCTCTACCTGGTTAGATTGTGCCTTAATCGATTATCCAATACCACATCTCTCTTCCTCCCTCCCCCTCCGTTTCTTTCTCTCTCAATTCATGTACTTCCAAAATTATCTATACTCATTACTTATTTCGCATCTCTCAAAGTTCTTATCTACCACTAATTCATAAATACAGAGTTCTATTACTTTTATCAAATTGGAATATGACGTCCATTAATAGAGTCCATTGATAGGTAGCTGAAAGCAATGTCATATATACACCGGGTGTTTTAGACTACCCGTACATCCCTTTCATCTTCGCAGGATAAGGTCCAATCGTAAAAGTGTTCAGACAAAAGTTGTAGAGTTTGAAAAGATCTATTTACTAATCTTATTAATTTGATCTTAGGTAGCGTCAAGGTCACGTCAATTTTCTTTAATAAAACACCCAACTTTTTATTTCAGTAACTAATAGCCGCTCTCAAGAGCTTTTCAAAACATTATAATAAAGTTATTTTCCATTGAGTACTTTTCGAATTATAGAGCATACATTAACATTTGTCATTCAGATTAAAGTTATTGGTTGTATCTTATTTTCATTTTTGCACTAACAATTCATTTTTTATCCTGCGAAAATGAAAGAGGGTGCACGGGTAATCTGAAACACCCGGTATACATAATACAAGTAAAGATATGATGTATATATATGCACACGCGCGCGCGTGTGTGTGTGTATACATTCGTCGACAAAATTATCACATAGATAAATTTATATCAAAATTTTGCATAAATTCAAATAACCGTAATTTCACGAAAAATAGTTGCATTTAAAAGTTTTTTTTCATCAGATCAAACACATCCGTGTTTTTTTAAAAGCCATTAAAAGTAAGGATAGATTCAAAATACATTAAAAGCTTTGTAAAGTTCAGACTTTATCCTTGAAGAATAAAAAAAAAAGACAAATGCGACCATTCTTCGCGGAGTTATGCTGAATTTATGCGAAATTTTGATATAAATTTATGCGATAATTTTGTTGATGAGTGTATTATATACAAGTATATGTATAACCAGAAAGAAACTTAAGAGAGAACATGAGGGTCTTTTTCCTGTAATTGCAAATTATCCCCGCAGAGGACGCACTGCTGCTCTCTGAAGAAATGGATATAAACTACAAACAATATCCATTTTTTTTGCGGTGCTCCTGATGGAAATAAATCGCTGAAATAAATAAAAGATATGAAATTAATAGAAATTTTAGCGATTTATTTTCATCAGGAGGACCACAAAAAAAAATGAATATTGTTGTGTAATTTACATCCACTTCTTTAGAGGGTAGCGCAGTAGTGCGTGAGGGCATTTCGCGGTTACAGGAAAAAGGCTTTCATATCCTCTCTTAGATTTCTCTCTAGTATGACACAGAAAGAATTTTCAACAGTCATTAGACTATTAGACATCATTTGCACTAATTTTTTTATTTTTTTGTTTTGCCGAATTTTTTTCCATAATTTTCATGATTTTTGGAACGCATATAAATATTTTATAAATATTTTTATTTTTGTTGATAATTATAGTTACATCTGCTTATACATTTCAATTATTTTTTTAGCGTAAAATTTAAATGTAAATAACCTGACTGTATTTCGAAATATTTTAATTACCTATACATGCTTTATAATGACATATCTTTGCGTTTTTTAAATTAAGCGAAAAATTGATGCCTCTGAGAGTCTAACGTTTGCACTTGATGATGCAGTGTCCATTATCAAGAGTTTATATAATGGCACATGCGTAAGGATAGCAAAATGGAAATGTTACGAAAACAATGCTTGATTAGTTATAATTTTCAAGAAATGACATTTTCACAGATCGTTCTTCTTTTCTTTCTTTCATGAATATATATGTACATACGTGTATATTCATGAAAACATATGTACATGTATATTCATTAATAAAACAGTATATATAGTATAATTCCAAAGTGTTTACATTATTCCGTTTGTTCCACAGGCTTCTATTACTACTTCTATTATCAAACCGCTAACTTCCAAGTTCCTTCCTTCTTTTCTATAAAAATGTTGCCTATGCGAAGGATGTGCAGAATAACTCTCAATACTTCTCACGCAGAATATCTCTCAGAAAAGAGATTCCAAGAGATTAGATGGTTTAGCGTTTCTGCGATTAGTTCAAAAATATGTAGAAAGCAGTATATAAATGTTATATTATATAATTATATGCTTATTCTGCATATGTAGTATATATACGTTTTGTAGATCGATTTTAAATTTCATAGAAACCATTAAACCTTGAAGTCATTTATTATTTAGAAATTCGTATAGATATATGTTACGCCATTGTCGTCATTTCACACAGTTTTGTTTAACAAGATAAGGCCCCCCTCCCAGCTCTGTTCAGATTCTCTCCCAAGTGCCTCCCAGGTATTATGCTATCTTTATTAAACAACCGGTGAACATAGAGTGAAGAACACAAGAATAAAATGATACTTGATGGTACTTGAGTGAGAATCTGAACACAGCCTTGGAAAAGGATTTCAGATATTTTTTGTTCAACAAAATAAGATCCTGGGAGATGCTCTCCTAGATCTTACCTTGTTAAATAAAAAACATGTGAAATCCCTTCCAAAACCATATTCAAATTCCCATCCAAATATCATCCAGTATCCTACTTCTGTAATTCTTAACAACTGTCAGTATCATTTTACTGACATTATAAATAGTACATAGCGACAACATATCAATATCAAACTGTTGTTAGAAGTTACAGAATCAGAGTATACATATTATTTTATACTTATTTAACACTTAATGAACAACAAGGATAATATGTGGGAGTGGAATCTGAATATAACCATGGAAGGGAATTTTATCTTGTTGAACAAAAACGTGGAGTGATGAATATCGTAACACAGATACGAATTTCTAAATAACAATTCAAGTAATTTTAAGATTTGACAGTTTATAATAAAATTTAAAATAGCCACCGACAATTTTCTTTATTGAATCGAATTAAAGTTTCGGAAACGTTTCTTTAGTTAGTGACTTGGATTTATTCAAGGTGGTGTAAATGACTAACAATTATGATTATAATATCATTATATTATTAATTATTACGTAATGTTAAATGTAAAAAATCGCTTTATTTTATTAATAAAAATATGAAATTTATCATGTTTACAACTAATTTTGCCTTTACACATACTACCAACATTTTTTTAGTCTATCGATCAATTTTTGTCAACTTGAGCAAACAAAAAATATAATAAATAACCCGTTTTTATTTTTTATACATTAACAATTTATCTAATTGTTTAAATGAAACGAATAAAATTTCAAATCAAACGATGCAGAAAAGCAAGACACATACGTTTAAAAAGAAAAGTCTTCTAATTCTAACCGATATTTATAGAATACACTTTAAAAATCAATATTGAAAGTGCGATACAAAGTACGAAGGAGATTAATTCTCACGTTTGATGAAACGTAAGACACGTCTATAATATATAAAAATGTAAAAAAAGTTAATCATATCAATAATATTTAGAAAAAATTTCATTGACTTTTATCGCACCGTTTTGAAGATATTTATTTCTAAATTTATAAAATTTTACACTACAAGTTAAAGGTATAACCTTATCCTGTAAATATTTTCTTTTAAATTGAGATATTTATAAAGTAGAAATATAAAGTAGAAATTTAAAAATCGTTATAATTATAACACATATTTACGTTTATTTTCGTAAAATTTGTATCTAAACTGACCGTACAGTTTTAAAAAAAATTATATTCTTCAATGAAAAAAGCGAGAATGTGAAGATGCGTGTATACATCAAATGAGCATCTTAATTTTTATTTTTTTAAATAAATAATTTAGTAATATATAAAATTATAACAATAATTTTGAATTCTAAAATATTGAGACATATGAGAATTTTTTCGCTAGGAAAAGAGTTCTAAAGCATTCCCTATTGTATTCGATGTGTTTGTATACAAAGAATGGATTTTAAGTTCTACGTTTTCCTATATACACGATGTAAATAATTTCATCATTTTCTATATACGAATGATATTGAAAGAATTCAACGTTTTCTTCTTTCTATCACTAAAAAATCATTTGTATCGTAAATCATAATCATTACCTAAATGGCTTCACCACGAAGATTCGTGTCTACGCTAAAGCATCTATCACCTCGGCCACTAGAAAGTGCTATGTTAAACGTTAGGTAAGAACAGTCAGAATTTTTGTTATTTAAACTAAAGTCCACAAACGAATAATAATTTATTAGAGTATGTCCAAGTCCAAAAACTCCAGATAACATTCACGAAAAAAAGATGGAAGATGAAAAGTTGTCACCGTTCAATATCGATACTCCTAATAGAGTCGAACTACTCAGGAACGGTCTGTCGAGGAAACATCGTTCTGTGCTCGGAGCGGGTGCTTTCGGTACCGTCTACAAAGTACTTTACAAAGGTGCTTTACTGTAATTTTTCTTAATAGATTATGTATTGTCAAATTTATTAGAGGTAATTGCATGTGCATGAGAAATGAAAAAGAATCCATAAATATGATTTACTATTGTCACGTTTCTCAGGAAACCAAATGGCAGCCAAGATAATTCCACGCAAACAAAATGATGATGAAGTAATAAACTCAGAGAGACATGCGACTATCCTGCGACACACCAACATTGTAAAAATATTGAGAATAGAACAAGGCAATAGCGTATCATTGATAACAATGGAACTATGCGGCACGTCATTGAAGGACAGGCTGCAGGAATCGGCACTGTTGAAAGAAAAGCGTGTCTCAATCTGGAAAGATATCGCTAGCGCGCTTCAATTTTGCCACGATTCTGGCGTGATACATGCAGACGTTAAAGCAACTAATATTTTAATGGCAGCTAACGGTCAAGCTAAGCTAACCGACTTCGGTAGTTCTATACTAGTCGATGAACCCGATGAACCGCACGTTTCAATCAGACCGCGAGTATGCACGCATATATGCGATTCATTGAATCTTCACTCAAAAATACATTAATAAATTTTCTAATAGAATTATAGATACATGCAATATGATTTTTGTAACATTTTTCATATATCCATACATATATACTCATTAGACATGTGTTTATATAATGGCGAGATTTTTATTTTTGGTGAATTCCATCACTCATATTGCACTAAATTAGTATACATTAGATTAGTGCACATTAGAGGCTTCTTTATACAAGTATCTAAATGCAATGGCATAATATAATCAACTTTAACAATGAAATACAATAATACAACATGTATAAGTATTCTGTTAAGTAACGAGACAATATCATATCAATTAGATGTTTAATGTTTATATGCTTCTACATTTACTTTAACTTTACTAATTTCTATAACAGCTTTAAATATACACTAATTTAATATAATGCAAGTGAAAAAAATTTTGCTATTTAGTTTTCTCTTCTAAAAATTCATTTCTTTATCAGGGTACACCAGGCTATGCAGCACCAGAAGTGCTTCGAGGAGATGTACCTACGTTCGCTACCGATATTTATTCCCTAGGAATTGTGGCTTGGCAAATGCTCTCTCGAGAAGTACCTTTCCATGGATTACATATGCATACTGTCATATATATTTCTGTAAAAGGAACACGTCCTGAATTTGAAGCTCTTGATGACGAGTTCGATGGAAGATACAAAGAATTATTCAGAGCGGCATGGTCCCAGAATATCGCAGATAGACCTTCGCTCCATGAAATAATCAGTAGACTAGATCTTTTGTAATCCATAGTTAACATTTAT